ACGCATGCACGATCGCAAGCATTTCGCGATCGTGTATCGGGTAATTTTTCTCAGGTGGGTGCAGCTTTCGTGATTCGTATGCGATGGGCTGTAGGCCGTTCCCGAAATCCTGTAGCAGTACGGCTCCGATGGCGATGTCGCTTGCGTCAGTAATGACTTCGAATGGGCGGTGTGGGTCGGCAATGCGCAGGACAGGCGGTGAACAGAGAACATTTTTCAGGGTAGAGAAGGCAGCATGCTCGTTCTCCCCCCACGTAAAAACGACCCCCTTCCGCAGCAGATCCGTCAGTGGGGCAGTTAAGCGTGCCATGTTGGGGACGAACCGACGGACGTAATTAACAAAACCCAAAAAACTCTGCAGCTCCGTGATGTTTGTCGGGGGGTGCCAAGCTTTGACCGTATCCAGCTTCTTCGGGTCAATCTCAACCCCAGCCTCCGAAATAACGTGCCCCAAAAATTCTAACCTATCCTGAAAGAACTCGCACTTAGACCCCTTGGTCAATAACCGATGCTCCTCTAAAATTTTAAACACTGCTTCCAGGTCCGCTAAATGCTGCTGCTTATCGCGGCTGTAGACGAGAATGTCGTCGAGGTAGACTATCACACACTTATCTAAAAGTGGTCTAAACGCCTCGTTCATGGTCATCTGGAATGTTGCAGGTGCGTTGGTCAGCCCGAAAGGCATCACGGTATACTCGAACGACCCGTACCTAGTCCTAAAAGCTGTCTTGGCGCAGTCCGATGGTTCGACTCTAATCTGGTGGTAACCTCCCCGTAAATCTATCTTCGAGAACACCCGTGCTGTTCGCAGCTAGTCGATCAGTTCGTCGGCGCGGGGAATGGGGTATCGTGACTTCACTGTAACCCTGTTGAGCGCTCGGTAATCGATGCACATGCGAAACCCTCCATCTTTTTTTGGTGTGAATAGTATCGGTGCGGCGAACGGGGACGAACTCGGTCGGATAAACTGCTTCGCTAACAGGTAATCTAACTGCTTCCTCAGTTCGTCGAGCTCCGGCTGTGTCAGTCTGAACTGGCGCTGTACAGTTGGCTGTGCCCCCGGCTCTAACTCTATCCTATGGTCGTGCGCCCGCTGAGGTGGCAGTCCTTCCGGTAAGTCGTCGGGGAAAATCCCCGGGTACCGTTTCAATAGCTCCTGTAGTTCATGCGGTACCGCTGTCAGCAGTTTCTGAAAATCACTCGGCTGCTCAGCTTCTCCTACCACTGCGATGTCCACTGCATACACGTCAGCTCCAGCGGCGACTGCCCGTTTCATTGTTATGGCGTTGACGTGGACCGTCGACGATTCAGGCGACTGCCAGCGTGGTAGTTCGACCCAGTTACCACTACTTCGCACAGTGCAGCTGCCTGTTGTCCAGTCGATTCTCGGGTTGTAACGTCGCAACCAATCACGTCCTAGTAAAATGTCGTACCCATCCAGTGTCGTCGCGAGCATTTCTTGTGTAAACCCGAAGTTCCCTCCGCAGCGAACTTTTACTCTCTCCACCTTCTCCCGTATGGCCAGCGGCGTGCCGTCGACTAAGCGTGCATCAATCTCAGGTAAGCACCGGCTAAGTGTCAGTTGAAGTTTCCGTGCGGTCGCGGTATTAACTAAACTGTGACTAGCTCCTCCGTCGATAAAAATCTTGACTGCTGCTCCCTGTATTTTCCCGTGGATCAGTACTGGGCAATCCGTCGCTGTACCCTCCTTATTCATCCGAGCCCGATCGATAGCGTGGATCGGTACTGTGACTCGGTGAGGGTCGGTGTGGTTGGGCGAGCAGGCAGTCTCGTCAGTAGTCGGCCCAATTTCTACTGACTGCTGGCGTTTCCCTGCCTCTGAGACTCCCTCCCTTGCTCTGCTCCGTGGCGCCTTAGCTCCTCTGGACACTCACTTTTACGATGGCCCGGCCTGTTGCAAGCAAAGCAGCGCCCCTTGAATGGTGCGGCAGCTGCAATCGTCGCAACGGCGTGTACGGTGGCGTGCTCGATCGGTCCTCGAGGACGATGTCCGTAGTAGGACCCCGGTCTCGGACGGCGCAAAATGTCGATTTTCTCGGCGATCGCGAGAATCTCGTTGAAATTCGAGAGTCCGCGTAGCATTATTTCCTGCGAGATTTCCGGCTTTAGCCCTCCGACGTAACGGTCCACCCGCTCCGCTTCGTGCATGTAGCCGACCTGCTCGCATAATGCGAGAAAACCGCTCGTGTAGTCTTGAACCGACCCGAGCTGCCGCCAAGTGCGCAGTTTCTGACGCGCCGAAATAGAAGCCGCGATCGGCTCGAAGCGCGCCCGAAGCCCTACGCACCACGCATCCCACGTGCTGTATTGGGCGGTTTCGCAGAATGAAATCCAGTTGACTGCTGGGCCCGCGGGCCCTTCCTCTTGCGACGGTGGCTCGTAGGCGCGTGGCGACGTCACGATGACTCGCCACCAGTCCATAGCGGGGCCCCTCAACAGCGAGACGGCGAATCGTATCTTCGCTGCGTCTGACTCGACGTAGTTCGCGTCAAAAAACACGTTCATCGTTAAGATCCACGACTGAACCGTCGGACCACCACGCTGGCTCGGGTCGAAATAGGGTGGGCGCTGCGGCTTGAGTGGCATCGGCGCCATGATTGCCTGGTCGCCACTTGTTGCCGCAAACTCCACGTGCCGACGGGCTTCACGAGGCTCCCGTGGGCTTGGTGCGGCCCGGTTTCCTCCCATACCAGGCATTGGCTGGGCGGCGCTGTCACTGGCTGCGCCTGAGCGCTGTCCCACGCTGTCGTGCTGTGTTGGTGTGCCGGACGAGATGACAATCGGCTCGTCTGACTGTGCAGGTGCATTTTGTGACGCTGGAGCATTCGCCGCAGATTGCTGACGCGCGGAGTCACGTTCTGCCGTGAGCGTCGCAATCTCGAGTGCTGAATCTTCAACTTGACGGATCAGACGGTCAAGCTGCTCTTGCGTCAACGTCGCGAGCGTAAATTCAGCCATGGCGGGGGTGTCGGTCAAGCGCAGCGAGAGCCTCTGTCGTGGCCGTGCGTGCTTACGAGAGAGCACTACGAGCGGCGGTGCTTGATCGCTGAGAGACGTCTACCCCCCCCAAAAAATTGAGATAGTGGGGAAACGAAGGTGTGAATGCGGTCCGAGAAGAGATCGTAGGCTCTGAATACCAAGTGTTACGGGTGCAATGGAGTGAGCGAACGAAGATTGCACTATCGAAGCAAAGGTACAATGAGCGAAGGCATGAGCGAAGGATTATATAGCGAAACTACAGTGGTAACGGTAATGGACTGTGGTTGTCGCGCGACGGGCCTGGGACTGAGGTTGGGAAAAGTGTCGAGGCGGAGGTCCGGAGCGCGGGTTACCGTCGAGCCGTGAGGTCGGGGTACGACATGCGAAAAATGGCGGGCGGATTATTGATGCGAGTGGTAACGGTGCTGACTGAGGTGCTACAGTGATGTACGCGTTGAGTGGGGATGCGAAGAAAGGAAAAGGAATTTTCCTTACACTATCACAATTTGGGTGCATTCCTGTGTCGACATTTGTGTCTCAATCGTTTTGTGACGCCTAAAAACAGCATAAAACGAATAATGTCACAAACGCGTGTCGCCCTTGTGCGACCAATACTGTATTTTTCATTGGTCAGCGTGAAACGCGCTGGCGTCGCGGACGAGTTGCATATTGTTGACCCGTCACTGCGCACACGGCTCGAAATGTCAATGTACCTGGACACCCCACCCACAATGCCAATCTCACGCGGGAAAAAATTCCGCTCGGAGAAACCCCACCCCAGCCAGGCGGTTGAAGACACAGGTGTACACTGTATCAGACTTTGGAGTCTGATTCAGAGTCCGTTCAGACTTTTTTTTTGTACCTAGTCTGAACTCAAAGAATTTTTTTATGCACCCTGTCTGATTTTTCAGAGTTTTTTTAACTGACTTGTCTGAAATTTCAGAGTAGTCATAGTAGTGTAGGCTGAGCCTCAAACTTGTATCGGGGGTCCACTCTGAAACCGGTTATACAGGGGTTTCCGCCGACTGAATGAAAGGTTATCGGAACGAAACTTCCTCGAAACTTTTTTTCGATACACCCACGTGTGTACACACGATTTCCTCCGGATAAAACTGCTCGAGTAGGGGTACAAGGATACACTACTTTGTCGACGCTATCTCGAGTGTCGAATTCATTGGGGGCTTATAATAACCCTTAAATTGTGAAACTAGATAGCCAATCGCACATGGCCAAAATGATTTTAGCGAATCGCACATGGCGAAAAGCGAATTGGTGCAACCGAAAGCCGTGTCACATATGAGTCTCGTACTTCAGCAGAACCGCACATCATTTCCCCTTCCCAAACCGAGTCAAAATTTTGAATCTGCAACTTTAGGAGAGAATATTCCGCGCACATAGGGTGTACACAGTTGAAAACTCTTGCTGCAGCCAGCGCGCCCAGCACAGAAAAGTTCCGAGCGATACCGTGCCTGCTGCCAGGTCAGCTGATTGGGAGCTTGCCACACTTGGCACTTGCACGAGGCCATTGTCTGATGCCCACACCTCGACTCGACCCTGACTGCTCAGTGATCCTAACTCTTGACAAATGACCAATCAGAGTGCCCCATTTCTGGCCGCACAATTGCGTTGGTATGCTGTAATCAGCTTCAATGCTATTATAGCTATGTTGTTACCGTAACAGTAACTCTGACAGTTCAGACAAAAGAAGTTGTGCTTGTCTGAATTTTCAGACTAAAAAAAATAGGTAACTCTGACAGCCAGACTAGGAAGAGGGGTGTACTCTGAGGCGCCAGACTACCTCAAAACGAATCTAGGGGCCTGGTGTACAGTCATGTTTGAAATCCAATCAGATGCACACATCTGTAAATTTCGCCTGATCGCCCAGTTTCGCGATAAATTCGATTTTTGTGACACGCATTTGACAGAATGTTTCGACGCGACTCGGGAAATGGGGCATTGAGGCATTGAGACATTTGTGTCCACACAGGTATGTACCCTTACTATCCACCTGCACCCCTGTGCCCAAGTCTCCCAAACCTGATCCTTTGTTCAGCCCTCAACACATCAGTGTCGATCTCCCTGGACCAATCAGGGAGCTCCCTGTGTCCCAGGAAGTGCACCATAGCCCTGATAATGCGGGGATCTCGAAAGTAAGCCCCGTGGTTGAGGTCAAATTGGCCAGTCAGCTCGCTGAACCGCTCCTCTATCATCACACACAGCTGCTTCACCTGCACGAGGGAGGAGGGGGAGGCATGAACCAGGTCAAAGAGGAGGGAATCATACACTCCACATACCGTCATCGCCCGGATATAAGACAGTGTCGAATTGAAGACAGGGGGTGTCGTTAAAACGGGTGTTTCTTATAGATGGGTGTTCCTGATTATAAGACAACTGTCGGTGTGTACGAGTTGAGCCAGTATAAGGGTTAGGGGCAATCTTATGACGAGGGGGTATCTTCTAAACGGTTTTTTGTCCATTTATAAGAACTATAAGACACCCTAAACCGTCCCAATTACAAGACACAGCAAGCTTTTTTTCTAATGTATAAGATAAGACATATATGTCTTCTATCCGGGCGATGACGGTAGGACTCCCAGAAACTTTTGACTCTAAGCGGACCATGTCGGCTGCTAAGGAGAAAGTACAGAGAGAGTGATCCGCCCAGCACACGGCTCGCTTGCTTGTATCATAGATCGTGCACCTCCTCGTTGCTTGTTTGCTTACCTTCCAGCTAGGTAGCAAGTCAGGTTTAAAAAGTTTACTTGCTTTCCTGCCACATGCACCTTCAACTGCAGGCTGTGTGTGAGTGGGCACCTTCCAAGGTCACAGCAGCTGCTGTCTCACCTGGCGCACGCACTCCTGGTCGGAGAGGCGCGGGTTGTGGGTGATGGCCTGCAGCTGCGAGCGCAGCAGCTTGTACGTCTCGCACTCACTCGCTGCTGCCTCCAGCGCGCCGTCGTTCCACAGGAATTCATACGCCACCCGTGCTGCCTCCTCCCTGCTGCCTCTCGCACGCACTCGCTGCTGCCTGCCGCTGCCGTGCTGCACTCCTGTCGCCTTCAGCTGCCCCTCGTGCCTCGGCCTCACCAGCTTTCCTTTCATCTCTTCACGTGCACCCTCAACAAAAGCCTCACCCACTCCCCCCTTCCGTGCTACACGTCCAACTCCCTCTGCAGCGCTGCCCCCTCCCCCCGCTCGCCCTTCCTTGCTTTCACCCCCTTCTTCACCCATTTCCTCATCGCCCTCCCCTCTCTCCCCCCCCTGTCGCAGAGCCTGCTGCATGAGGCTTAAGCTCGGCCTCACGCTTCCTGGTGCTCTGCCCTTCCCTCCCTTCTCTCCTGCTGCTGCCACCATTTGTTGTTGGGCGGCTCTGAATGGCTCCACGGCCTCCCCCAACCCCAAGTGGGTACCAGAGAGCCCCGTTCGCTCAGCTGTATGCATGCAGCTGCCCTGCTGTGGGCTTGACACACTTGTCTGTATTGCGTCTATCCCTGCACTCCCTGCACCCTCAACACCCACTCTTCCATCACCTTCCCCTTGCCTCGTCACCCTCACCTCCCTCTCTCCAACCTCCTCCTGCTCCTTTCTCTCCTCCGCCTTACCCTCCCCACTCGACCCCTCATCAGCTATCTCTTTCCCAGTTACGCCCCCTTGAGGCACCCGCTCTTCAAGTAGCCCCTCCCTGAGTACAGCCTTCCCCATGTCACGCGTGTCATCCTCATACCCCGCCATCACCTCCCCCCGCAACGATCGCGTCTTGGCCAGCGCCAGTAGTTTCTGAGAAAGTGGGGGAAGAGGGGGGGAAGGGGGGAGGATACGGGTGGCAGGAGTAAGCTAGAAGGAGAGTGTTCATTCCCCTCGGAACACAAGGCAGACAAAAGAACACAAGTCATTGAGACATTTCAGATCTTGGTGTGCGCTGCTGCAACTGCCGCAGTGTTGCGCGTGCATGTGATGTGAGCGCACCTGCATGTGATGTGAGCGCACCTGCATGTGATGTGAGCGCACCTGCATGTGATGTGAGCGCACCTGCATGTGATGTGAGCGCACCTGCATGTGATGTGAGCGCACCTGCATGTGATGTGAGCGCACCTGCATGTGATGTGAGCGCACCTGCATGTGATGTGAGCGCACCTGCATGTGATGTGAGCGCACCTGCACGTTCCAGTGCTGCACGTGGTGTGATGGCGACCACTCGTCCAGGTGCAGGCACTCGTCCACAAACACACTGGCGAAGCTCAGCTCCTTGGGAGACAGCCCGAAGCTCACCGTCACTACCGCTTTTCGCACCACCGAGATTATCAACGGCGCCAGCAGGCGAGACAGCAGTGCTACAGCTGTTGCGGGCAGGATGAAAATTATGTTCCACAGGAGAATCCGGGCAGTGTTGCTGATGTAAAGCGTCCAATCGGAGCATTTGTTTGTGGTTGGGCGGTGGGGAAGGGGTTTCCAGAAGGAGGTTTTGAGCATGGAGGCTAGCTGCGGGACGATGTAGGCTCGGGTGATAGGCTCGGTGGATAGTGCCAGGCTGGCCTCGTCTAATTTGCCGGCGTGGATGACGAGTGCTGACATGGCATGCGACCAATCAAAGCCAGGAGCGTGGTAGATGTTCCCGCTGTACAATGCAGTGCTGCGCCAGAGCTGGGATAGGAGGGTGGAAGGTAGAGACGAGAGGGGAGGGGGAGCAGAGATGGAAAAGGGGAGGAAAGAGCGGATGACGGGAGAATGAAAGTAGAGTGAGGAAGCAGAAAGAGAATGCATCGAGGGAGATGTGCGATGGGTCGTGTCGGTATGAAGAGCAGTGCAATGCAGGAGAAAGAGAGGGAGGGATAGGAGAGTGGAGGAGAGAGAGGGATGAATACGGGATGGAGAGCAGAGGGAGAGGGGGGTTGATTATAAAGGTAAAAGGGCATGGTGATTATCCACACCAGGAGTATGGTATGGTGTAACTACATAGAGTCTATCACACCTCCTTGGTATCTACCACACGCCCCCTTGTGTATCTACCACACCCCCTTGCCATTCTATAGCCACACAATTTATACAATCACATAAATGCCAACACCCAATGGCATACCTACATTATACAATCACATCAGTGTCATTGCACGATTCCTCATTTCATCATTGCCCTTACACGACTCAATGTAATCGTACGGTCACACACCCTCAAATCTACAGAACTAGAAAAACACCATGAACTGGAGCACCATAGTTCACTGAGGCACTAACCCTTCCTATACATGCTCAGTCACCTGGATCCCACCCCATGTTGATAGAATGACACTGCAATAAAATCACACCCACCTCCAATGCCACACTGACAACAGCGAAGACAAGAAGAGCAGCAGCGAGGGAGAAGGGCAGGTAGCTAGGCGTGGTGGTGCTGGTGCCATGCCATGCACGTGTGCCATGCCATGCAAGTATGCATAGGAGGGAGAGAAGGGTGTGAAGGAAGACGCGATTTGCTCTGTCGTTCACCTCAATGTTTTCAACTTTCAACTTCCCGGTACCCCCACAGTGCGCATGACCTCGCAAGCTCGCCCGCAATGGCGAGTACAATCACGCCCCCCACAGCAGCACATAGCCCCACACTGCCACGAGCGTCATCCCCACCGCACGAACACGGCCACCATGTGCATTTTCATTACCTTGAAAGCTCGCCTGCCATGGCCAGCACCAGCAGGCGCCACAGCAGCACATAGCCCCACATCACCACGAACGTCACCCCCACAGACACGGCGGTGGTAACCAGCAGCAGCAGCACGCCGTGGCGCTGCCAGGTCTTGACGTAGAAGGGCGTGCCCAGGAACACCCCCCCCCCCAGCGCGTTGCACAGCGGGCTCGTGGCCAGGCGGTGCGCGAGGAAGAGGCGCTGGCGCCGGGAGGGCAGGCCCAGGAGGGAGTCCAGCCAGCGGTAGCGCGCCCAGGGGTACCGCTCCTTGGCCCGAGCTGCTCTGTGCCCCCCCATGCTACACCCAGGGGGAGAAGTGGGAAGGGAGGTAAAGGGGTGTGGCTAAGGGGGGAAGGAGCAAAGAGGACTGGAAAGTGCGTGTGTGTGTGTGTGCGCGCGCGCGCGCGTGCGTGCGTGTGTGTGCGTACGTGCGTGCGTGCGTGCGTGCATGTGTGTGTGCGTGTAATCAGCTCATCAAAAAGGGACGAAGGCTATAAGAGCATGTCGCCCATCCCCACCTCTAACCCGACAAAAGAAGTTGCAGAGGGCCCGGCCTGTGTATTCGGTGTGTACCACCAGACCCCTTCCCAGGCTGTGTACCACCAGACCCCTTCCCAGGCGGTATACGGCAGATACACACTCACCGTCTACCGTATATACGTGGGTGTGCTAAACGCACAACACATCTTTTCCAACATAGACGTAATCACGTGCGGGGGCATCGCGCGTGGGCATCGTCGCATGGGGAGACAGTAGTGTGAAGGCGTGGGGAGTAATAACCTGGGCGCATGGGGAGCATAGAGGAGGCGGGCGAGGGAGGGTAAGCAGCGTACCTCCTTTTGACAACAAGGAAGGGGAAGAAGCGCCAGCAGGTATTGGAAAGATCCGGCTTCTGCCAGTGGCGAATCAAATCGTATCTGCTCTTGTACGCCGCCCAGAATTGTTGACACACAACTGGCGGAAGATCGGAAACGTCCTTTCTTCCCTGGCCCTTCATGTACTGCGTGTGTGCGGCGGGTGGTCCAGGTGGCAGGGGGGAGGCGGGGTGGGGGGGGGGAAACGCAGGGGGAGGGGGAGAGGGAGAGGGAGAGGGAGAGGGAGTGGATACTGAGGAAGAATAATAGAAAATAGTAGAGAGAGAGAGAGAGTGGAAAAACCGGGAGGACCTTTTCGCTGACGTCGCCAACTGGGACCTCTGCCCACTTCGCGACAGCAGACAGCCACCCCTCGCCCGCCACCCCCCCAAACCACTTCGCGAATCATTCACGATCTGTATGCTGACCCCGCTTCTCCACATCGCTAAAAACCCTGACTCCTCACCTGGATGGAAGCTGCTGATGTTCCTCCCGCGAATTCTGTTGCGCACTTCGTCAGCTCGCAGACCAGACTGGAAGGCGATGGGCGACAGACTGACGCGTTTTCGCCAAGGCATGTGGCGCGCCCTGTATGACGAGGCAGCAGGGGCGGTTGCCAGTAACCTGCAACCACGCCATGTACCTGACACCACTGGAAAGCTGGCGAGGGCAGAGGGATTAGCAAAAAGAGGGAATCTGGCAAAGTCCCTCCAGTCGCTGACGGCCACACCTGTCAGCACGCCAAGCGCTGAAGTCCTGAGCGCACTTACGTCCAGGCACCCAGGGGCCTCCCTGGCTATCCCGGACTGGGTGCAGGGCTTCGCACCAGAGAATCTACCCTCAATCGCAGCTCGCGACTTCAGGCGGCTGCTAGCCCGATGCCCCGACGGCGTAGGAGCCGGCCCCTCAGGAACCACGTTCGAGCACCTGAGAGATGCGGCCCTTGGGAACGCCGACGTCTTCCTGCAGCTGCACGCACTCACCAACACAGCGTTAGCAGGAAAATTGAGCGCAGACGCGGCAGATTTACTCACAGCGTCGCGCCTTCTAGCTTTCTCGAAACCCCAGGGCGGAACGAGGCCCATAGCTGTAGGAGAATGCCTGCTGCGAATCGTCGCCAAGGCGGCCCTGTTCCTGGCAGCCCCTGCAGCGCGTGAGCACTTCTCCCCACTGCAGTTTGGAGTCGCAATCGCGGGGGGCATTGAGGCCGCTGTTCACGCGGCCCGCACTTACCTGGAGGAGTTCCCTGGTGCAACGGCCCTCCAGATCGACCTCGCAAACGCCTTCAACGCAGTGGAGCGAGCGGCGGTTTTCGAGGGTCTGAAGGGGACGAAACTGGACACCCTGGTCCCCCTCGTCCGCCTCTCATATGGCCGCCCTTCAGCCCTCTACCTCATATGGTAAGCACTGACGAGCTCAATGGCTTTGAGCAGCACTGACGAGCTCAATGGCTTTGAGCAGCACTGACGAGCTCAATGGCTTTGAGCAGCACTGACGAGCTCAATGGCTTTGAGCAGCACTGACGAGCTCAATGGCTTTGAGCAGCACTGACGAGCTCAATGGCTTTGAGCAGCACTGACGAGCTCAATGGCTTTGAGCAGCACTGACGAGCTCAATGGCTTTGAGCAGCACTGACGAGCTCAATGGCTTTGAGCAGCACTGACGAGCTCAATGGCTTTGAGCAGCACTGACGAGCTCAATGGCTTTGAGCAGCACTGACGAGCTCAATGGCTTTGAGCAGCACTGACGAGCTCAATGGCTTTGAGCAGCACTGACGAGCTCAATGGCTTTGAGCAGCACTGACGAGCTCAATGGCTTTAAGCAGCACGTTGCCCCCGTGGGAGTGGGCGATGACGTGGATGCGCGCTGAGGGGTCGCCACGCCCTATCACGTCCAGCAGACACGCCAGCTGTGAGAGTGCATGCAGGCAGGTAAACGGCAAGATTGATGGAGGCAGGATAAGGGGCCAAAACAGGGAAGACAACAGAGAGAGGGAGGAGGGAGAAGAGGCAGAGGAGGGGGGAGAAGAGGAAAAGGGAGAAGGGGTGGTAGGTGGAGAGGGGGGAGGAATGGGGCAGTGGGGGGGTGGGGGGGAGCGGAGAAGAGGCGGATGGGGGAAATTTGGAGAAAGGGACAGGAGAGAAGCAAGGAGTGGTGGTGACTGTGCTGACTGGCGTCTAGAGGTGAAGGCGGAAACCGTGTGCTGACTGGGGGTGAACTGGGGGCGAAGACCTGATATTGCGATTTAGTTTGGATCTCGAGGGAAAAGAAAAACGACAGGAGCATATGCAGACTTCCTTTGGAGACATATACAGCGTTGATTACTTTGTGTGCGGCTTCGATGCGTCCTTCATGCCTGTTCGTGCCGTCCCAGTGAAACGGATACGGGATGCCAAGTCGCGGAGGCGGCTCCGCCGGCAGCTCGCGCCACACGCATCCGTCGCTGAGCGGCCCCTTCGCGAGAAGCGCGCCGAGCCTGCTGCAGAAGTTGATTTCGCCGCGCGCCGCGGGCTGGTACCACGGCGTGCGCGGTCCGCCGGCCGGCGGCGCGAACGTGCCGTGGACGACGATGACGTAGTGCGTTTCGTGCTACACGTCGAACGACACCGTGCGACAGCTCGCTGGCGCTTCGGGGTCCGCATCCTCGTTATTACGAAACGGACCGCTACATGATGCAAGATGCACACACCCGCGATAATTACCGGAGCCTGTCAATTTATCAAGTGACATTTCTGTTGGGGTGGATCGCCGCTGCCCTATTACTTACCGGCTTACGCGCTCGTCTTAAGGGTGGTAGAACAACATTAGGACCGGTGGGAATGTAGGTGGGAACCCACAGCTAGAGCGGTGAGGCGGAAGCCTAAGAAGCCAAGAACTATGTGGGAAAATCGGAATGGGGGAAACATAGGGAATGGCGAATGCCAATAGACTTTTTGCCGTAACCTAAAATGTCAATCGCAACCGAACCGTGCTCGGTGCGGATGCGGCAGGACAGGTTTCGGTTTTGGTGGTTACCGACTTCGGTTCCGCATGCGACATGAGACGAAACGCGTAGAGAAACTAAGGCAGCCATGGATTCTGTGATTGACTTCGGAGAGCTCAATGTCCTTCGATTTCTTGCATTGGAATCCACGCAGCCAGATCTTCAGCAAAAACCAAAATGGATACACGCCATAAGGACGCTTCACCTCTAGCAAACATTTCAGGTTCGCAGGGTGGTCGGGATCTCACACCGATCCGACAGGGTCGATCAACACACCAGTGCGCCGAAAAGCAAATTTGCGATCGCCAGGTCAAACCGAGCTATAGGTGACAAGAAACAAAATTACGGGGGAAAATTGCCCAACTGCCGCGAGCCAGAGGTGACACCTTCGTGCTCAACTGTTTATTTCAAGCTTTCGAAACTGAGCGATATTGGCAACCATGTTTCTGGCGTCATCGCGAAATCACTGACAGGATCGATCAGTTAGAAGTTCAGAGAGGTAACACGTTCTAGGTGAATTAATTTCATTTCCAATCCTAACCTAGGCATTTCCTAAGCATCTTCTCTTCTGTTTCGCCCAGCGATTCCAAGGCCTTTCCAAGGCCTGTTTCGTGTCGCTCCCTAAGCGTCAATTAAAAGCGCCGCGCCCACCCTATTCCCTTTAATCTCTTAGCGCGCTCCCTGCAGCTGTTCGTCGCGCGCCCTGCTTTCCTCCGTCGCGCTTCCTGCACGGCCTCCCCACCCTTCGCGCGCGGCGCGGTAGTTTTCAGTCCGCATACTGACCGATCATGGCAGCTCCACCTCCCGATCTACTGACCGACTCTGTCCCCGCCGCGCCCACTGGCCTGGCCGACGGTGGCTTTCCGGGAGGGCTGCCTGGAGGGCGCGCGCCTGATCCCGGCGGGGTAGCGGGGCGCGCAACGGGTTTGACCGCCATGGGCTTCTCGGCGGGCGGGCGGCGCAATCCGTTGCGCGGAAAGAAGGCGGGCACGCCCGCCGTTGGCACCACCGAACGCGGACTGATCTCCGCGGAGCAACCAGCAGCGGTTACTGTGCACGCGGCGAAGAAGCATGTAGGAGGCATGTGGGAGGAGAGGCATGTGGGAGGAGGAGAGGCATGTGGGAGGAGGAGAGGCATGTGGGAGGAGGAGAGGCATGTGGGAGGAGGAGAGGCATGTGGGAGGAGGAGAGGCATGTGGGAGGAGGAGAGGCATGTGGGAGGAGAGGCATGTGGGAGGAGGAGAGGCATGTGGGAGGAGAGGCATGTGGGAGGAGGAGAGGCATGTGGGAGGAGAGGCATGTGGGAGGAGGAGAGGCATGTGGGAGGAGGAGAGGCATGTGGGAGGAGAGGCATGTGGGAGGAGGAGAGGCATGTGGGAGGAGGAGAGGCATGTGGGAGGAGAGGCATGTGGGAGGAGGAGAGGCATGTGGGAGGAGGAGAGGCATGTGGGAGGAGAGGCATGTGGGAGGAGGAGAGGCATGTGGGAGGAGGAGAGGCATGTGGGAGGAGGATAGAAGCATGTAGGGGGAAGCCCCTTCTCCCAGTTCCGTGCATCGCTTCCTCGTTTCTCGCTCAACCGTCCTCATCCTCCTCTGCCCTTACCTCTCTTTTCCTCCTCTGCCCCTTCCTCTCCTCCTTCGCCCTGTCCTATCGGCCCTCCTCTCCCTTGCGCCCCTCCTGCGCGGCCCGGCGTGTGTCAGCTCGTGTCGTACGGCCAGCTCGCCACGGCTCTCAAGGAGGCAGCCGGATCCACGGACCAGGTGAGCTCCACGCATGGCATGGCATGGCATGGCATGGCCGGGCCATGGATCATGTGAGGCATGGCCGGGAGCACTAGCATATCTTCTGGGGCCATTGTTGCTCGGCTGTTGGCCAGATGGCAGCTGTGCGCCGTTGTGTGATGCACTTGCTCCTTCTCGTGCACAGCCTTGGCTAGCCACCTAGCGTCTCATCTCCACGTTTCTATATTGTGGGATCCACATGTCCTACACGTGACCAGTTGTCGCTTCACTCGTGCTCTCTGGATGCTGCAACGACTGTTTGCATGTCTCTCCTGTCTTTTGTTTCTTCTGTGGGGAGAGCAGAAGAAGCGGCAGCAGCTGGTGGCGCTTGTGTTCCCCAAGCTCGCTGTGTACAACTCCGTGGACCCCTCTCTCGCCACTGCTCTGCTGCTCGTGAGTGCCACCGCTCTGCTGCTCGTGAGTGCCACCGCTCTGCTGCTCGTGAGTGCCACCGCTCTGCTGCTCGTGAGTGCCACCGCTCTGCTGCTCGTGAGTGCCACCGCTCTGCTGCTCGTGAGTACCCACGCTGCTGCTGCTCCCATAGCCCGACCATGCCTTGCTCTTGCTCTTGCATTCTCTGGATTTCCAATACTTTCACTTCATGTGATGTGCCATCACATTCCTAAAACCTAACTTCCCAGAGCCCCAATTCGCTACTCTCAATGTCCTGGATTGGCCATTTATTCTCCTGCACCCTTCTTATCGATGGCATTTCCATGCTGCTTGTTTGTCCTGGCATTGAAACACCTGGCTGGCTTGTCATGGCATCTCATTGCATCGTATCGCATTGCCTGACATGGCATGGTATGGCATGGCTTGGTGGGGCTGTGGGCATGGCATGGTGGGGCTGTGGGCATGGCATGGTGGGGCTGTGGGCATGGCGAGGGTGGGCGTGGTGGCATGGCGTGGCAGCTGCTGCAAGGGTCATCGGACGTGGTGGTGCTGCGCTACTGCTACTACTTCCTCGCTCGCATCCTCACTGAGAGTGCCAACGCTGGCAGCTACAACGAGGGCGGCGGCGTGCCCACCCCCAACTGGGACACCCTGGCTGACGTCTCTGCTGGTGCCGCCTCCCTCTCCCTCCCTCTCCATCCCCCTCCTTCCCTTCCACATGCCATCCGCGCCCACAATCTGGCAAGCAAGCCTGCTACTCTCACGCTGCTCCTCATGACGCCTGTTGCGCTCTCCCTCAACTTCAGTCAGTGCCTCCACTGCCATTGTCTTGTGCTGCGTGCATGTGAATGGACCTGCGTGCATGGTGCGTGGTGCATGGCAGATGGGTCACAAGCGGCCACAAGGGCAGAGCTGCTCTCTCTCATACTCTCTCGCCTCGCCACTGAAGCATCCACCCCTGATGTCGCTGGTACTCCCCTCACTCACTCTGCTATTAACCATGAAATCATTCTCTCTTCTTCTCATGATGCATTCCTCCTGTGCCACCACCCTCTCATCTTCTTGTACATCAATGCTCAGCCTTCAACCCGGCCACCCTCTCCTCCTCACCGTACCCCTGCTTTTCCCCGCCCTGCCCCGCCCTGCGCCCTGCCCCGCCCTACCCCGCCCTGCCCCTGCCCTTCCCCACCCTTCCCTGCCCCTGGCAGTGCATGCGCGGCGCATGGCGGCGCTCAAGGCGCTGGCGTGTGCGCCCATGGCCCACCAGGACGCCTATGCTGCGCTTGTCCGCATCATTCTCGCCATCCTTGACTCGGTCAGCTGCTCTCCCGCTCTCCCTGCCATTCCAACGCCTTTCCCATCTCTCTTGTTCTGGAGTCAACGTTCTTGCTTGCTACTGCACTAACGAGTATTTCCCCCACCCTCATACCCTTGCACCTTGTTACGCTTGCTCATCTACTCACCACTACACGAGTGCTTTTACGCTCTCTTGCTCTGCAGCAGGGCTCTCTTTGAGTCTCGTCTCCTGCGATGCAACTCCTTCCCCGGCACTGCATCCTCGTACCCCCCGTACTGCACCCCTCTCCACTGCACTGCATCCTCTTCCGCCGCTTTCTACCCCCTTTCCCCGCACTGCACCGCGTGGCAGGTGACGGAGGACCGGAAGAAGCGGCGGCGGTGGAGGGAGCTGCTGCGGCGGGGCGCCAAGGCCAAGGACGCGGCGCTGCGGGGCAACCTCTTTGGCGCCGCGCTCTCCGCGCTGCGCCGCCTGCCGCTCGACCCCGCCTCCGATGCCTTCGTCGAGCGCGTCGTGCTGGGGTGAGTGGTTCAGAGCGGTGCTGGGGTGAGCGGTTTAGAGCGGTGCTGGGGTGATCGGGTGCTGAGCGGTGCTGGGGTGAGTGAGGGATGCAGTAGCAAGTGGTGCAGGGGTGAGTGCAATGGAGGGCAGTGTCCCATGTACGACCTGTATTGCCATGCCTCCTGTCCAACTGCTCCTCGCACACTCCTACCCCCTCACACCCCACTTGCTCCTCCCTCTGTCCGCGTGTGCGCTGCCGTGCTGTGCGGTGTGTGGCATGGCATGCGCTGTGACACGGCCAGCATAGGGTGTGGGGATGCAGTGGGGCTGCGCCATGCGCTCTCCATGGCGGCCGACATCGCCCTCGTCAACCCCCTCGCCCTCGCCACCTCCATCTGTCAGCCCCCCCTCGCCCACACCCACACTCTCTCTCTCTCTCTCTGTGCTTCTTGCCTTCAACCTTTCCATTTGAACTGAAGCAGTGAACACCCGTTATTTTGGTGCCCCATCGTGTTTCCAGTGCCCCAGCCATGCGCTTGCTGTTTTCCTCTGCCCTCACACCTGTGCTCTCCCGTCTCCCTCTCCCGTGCCTGCCTCCCGCCCTGCGCCCGGCATGCATCCCTTCGCTGTGGGGCCACACCACAGCGCGCCTGGCGGGGGGGTCACTGGCGGCGGCCATCAGGGCGCCCGACATGTTTGCTCGAGTGTACCTCGCACGCCTCTGTGCTGCCCTCGTGCACGCCTCCCAGATCTACGGTGCGCGCCACTCCACTCCACCGCCTCTCTACTCACCTGCTGCTTCATGTGCAAACGTGTGCTGCTGCCGTCCTTCCTGCCTTCTCCTCATATTGCATCATCTTGATGCTCTCGCTTGCTGGATTACGGCTTCCAGCATTCTCATATGGATCTTTCAATGGGGCTGAGCATGCATGGGGCACGGGGCGTGTGGGCATAGGGCGTGTGGGTATGGGGCGTGTGGGTATGGGGCGTGTGGGTATGGGGGTGGCATGGCATGGCTGATGGGCGGGTGCAGATCGGGCTGACTTCAGAGGGCTGTTCTCGGCGTTTCTCTTCCAGCTGCTCTACGATGCCAATGTGCGCGTCTGCCTCGAAGCCATCTGCTGCATCACCGCCACCTTCTCTGCCAAAGTCGAACCCACGTGCGCCCCCCTCTGCCCATCGCCTCGCCTCTTCAACCCACGCACTGCCACAAGACCGCATTGTTCCCTTTTACCTTAATCACATGGGATTGAACCCGCCCACTCACTGCTTCTCATCTCATCCTCCTCTCTGCCCGCCTCTTCCCCTGCAGACCCAAGGAGCACCGCTTGGTGGTGGAGCAAAATTCGTGTTTAGAACTCTCAGCCTCGAAGGCCTGGTTGTGGAAAATTTCTTGTGTAAATCAAGTGGTGTTAACTAGTGTTGGTGTGAATGCCTTTGTGAGACCATGTGATTTATCCTCCTCTCTGCCCGCCTCTTCCTTTGTTCCCCTCCCTCCCCTCACCGCCCGCAGCACGGCGCAGCGGGCGGATGGGTGGCAGATTCTGACCACCTCGCTCATGGACACGCGCGGGGCGGCGAGGGACCTCGCGGGCGGCAAGGCCGGGGGCTCCAAGGAGAAGGAGGCCATGCCCCTGCCGCCCTCCTACGACCTCGTGCTCAAGGTGCTGCGCTCAGGGTGTCGCGCTCACACCTTTATTACTTGCCAGCTTGGGGGCAGTGCTCAAGGTGCTGCGCTCAGGGTGTCGCGCTCACACCTTTATTACTTGCCAGCTTGGGGGCAGTGCTCAAGGTGCTGCGCTCAGGGTGTCGCGCTCACACCTTTATTACTTGCCAGCTTGGGGGCAGTGCTCAAGGTGCTGCGCTCAGGGTGTCGCGCTCACACCTTTATTACTTGCCAGCTTGGGGGCAGTGCTCAAGGTGCTGCGCTCAGGGTGTCGTGTACAGAGCATGTTGCCACATGTCTTCCACTTCACCATTTGTTCATTCCCTTTTTCAATCCCCGCTCACCCCCTTAACCAAGTGGTGGTACACGGCGTCAACCAAGCACTGCACTGCACTGCACCACACTGCACTGCACTGCACCGCACTGTTGAGTCGACTCACAAGTCGCTCCTTCATCCCCCACCCATTCCCCCTTTCCCCAACCCCCCCCTCCCCAGGTGGTGGCGCATAGGGTGGACTATGCGCTGCGCAGCACATCACGGCCCATGCTGCACGCGGCGCTGAGGGCGGTGGCGGAGGTGGGCAAGGCGCGCGCGGCAGCACTCTCCCTGGGGCTCTTCACAGAGGCGCCGCAGCTGCCACAGGACGACGCTGCTGACTTCCAGCAGGGTGTGCCGCCCTTCCCTCCTCTCTCACTCTCTCCCTCCTCTCTCGCTCTCTCCCTCCTCTCTCGCTCTCTCCCTCCTCTCTCGCCCTCTCCCTCCTCTCTCGCCCTCTCCCTCCTCTCTCGCCCTCTTTCTCCTCTCTCGCCCTCTCCCTCCTCTCTCGCCCTCTCCCTCCTCTCTCGCCCTCTCCCTCCTCTCTCGCCCTCTCCCTCCTCTCTCGCCCTCTCCGTCCTCTCCGTCCCCTCCGTCCCGTCGCCGTCCCCTCTCCGTCCCCTCTCGCCCCCTTGCTGCTGCTCTCCCTCCGCTCGCTTCACTTGGAGTTCGTGCTTTGGGTGGGGTGTGTGTCTTTGTGTGTGCGAGTGCTGAGAAGTGTGAAGTGTGTGTGTGTGTGTGTGTGTGTGAGTGTGTGTGTGCGTGTGCGCGCGCGTGTGTGTGTGTGTGTGTGTGTGTGTGTGAGTGTGTGAGTGTGAGTGTGCGCGCGCAGCGATGGGCAAGCAGGCGGCCCCCAAGGAGAAGGTGACGGTGGACTCGCTGCTGGCAGCCCTCATGGAGGCCGTGCGCTGCACCGTCGCCTGCGAGTGCGTCTACGTGCGCGCCCAGGCAAGTCCACATGCGCCCAGGCAAGTCCACATGCGCCCAGGCAAGTCCACAGGTTGTTTTGATCCCCTTGCTCCACAAAAGGCCGCCTTTTTGTGAGGCAAGTTATGAAAACGTTTTTGTGATTCTGCTTTGTGCTGCTGGTTGGTATGCACATGTGGGTGCGCGTGGGGTGGCAGGCACTGAAGGCGATGATATGGATGCAGAGTGAGTACGAGTCGAGCGCGGAGCTCAAGGCCACGCTGCTGGGCGAGCTGGACGACCCCGCCTGGCCCGCCGCCCTCCTCAACGACCTCCTTCTCACCCTCCACGCGCGCTTCAAGGTAACTCCCTCCACGCGCGCTTCAAGGTAACTCCCTGCACGCGCGCTTCAAGGTAGGCATGGGCATCTGGCCCGACCCGGCCCGACCCGGCCCGACCCGTCCCGTTTAGGGCGACCCGTTAGCTTAACGGGTCGGGTCGGGTCGGGTTAGCGGGTCGGGTTTGACTCTGTTTTGGTGACCCGACCCGCCCCGTTGGAACGGGTATTTGTGACCCGTAACCGGGTCGGTTACACCACGGGTCGGGTCGGGTCGGATCAAAACATGCTACATAGCAGCAGGGTATGGTGGCGCCTTGGCGCTGCTCCAGGTGGCGTTCGCGATGCTGGAGGTGGAGACCGCGATTCTGGCTGGTGGCGTTCGCGCTACTGCAAGGCCGCTATCGCGCTATTGCGGGGATGCGATCCCGCCAATGCGTGGCCGCGATCGCGCTGCCCTAATGTGGTGCCGCGATCGCGCATATGCGGGGCCGCGATCGCGCTGCGCAAATGCGGGGCCGAGATCGCGCTATTGCGGGGACACGATCCCGCCAATGCGTGGCCACGAGTGGGCTGCTGCGCCCCTGGTCGTGCGACACTGTGTAATGGCAGGAGCGCCTATGCCTATAATGAATATAAATATTAAAATAGTGCTAACATTGAAGTGAAGACTGTAAGAGTTTTGGTAGGTGCAGTGGAGATTTACTAACTTGATTAGAGACTGGATCTGAATGTCGAGGGAAACAAAACATCAAAACCAACTGATGTTCTCCCCCTCTCCAAATTGTACCCTAAGCAGAGAACGGGTCGGGTAACCCTGTCATTTGACTGGGTATGCGACCCGGACGGGACGGGTCAACCCGACCCGGCGGGTCGCTGATACCCGTCTATAAGTCACATTGACGGGTCACGGGTCGACCCGACCCGCCCGGGTAAACCCGACCCGACCCGGACGGGTCGACATTCTCAGCATTCCTGACCCGACCCGCCATTTTAGGCGGGTCGGGTCGGGTAACCTGACCCGTCCGGGCCAAATGCCCATCCCTACTTCAAGGTAACTCCCTGCACGCGCGCTTCAAGGTAACTCCCTGCACGCGCCCTTTAAGGTAACTCCCTGCACGCGCAGTGCAGGCGGCTCCCCTTCCGTAGCTGCCATGCATGCATGCATGCGTCCATGCATGCATGCGTCCATGCTCACTGCGAGCCCCCATTCCTGATTGCCCCAATGCTTCGATACCTTCCCCCATGCGTGCCCGCCAGGCCACGCCAGACATGGCAGTCACCATTCTGGATCTCGCCAGCCTCTTCGTCACAAGGGTGCCCTCCAAAGTCGACACCACCACCCTGCAGGCGCTCTGGAAGGTGCTCCCCCTTGCCCCCTCCCTCATTTCCCCTCCCCGCTCCCTCTCCCCGCTCCCTCTCCCCGCTCCCTCTCCCCGCTCCCTCTCTCCGCTCCCTCTCCCCGCTCCCTCTCCGCGCTCCCTCTCCCCGCTCCCTCTCCCCGCTCCCTCTCCCCGCTCCCTCTCCCCGCTCCCTCGCCCCGCTCTCTCTCCTCGCTCCCTTTCGCCGCTCTCTCTCTTCGCTCCCTCTCCCCGCTCCCTCTCCTCGCTCCCTCTCCTCGCTCCCCCTCATCGCTCCCTCCCCTCGTTCTTTTCTCCTCCCGTTCCTGTACCTCTTTCGTTCAAACATCTCTGCATAAACCCCGGGCGTGCACTCAGTGTCCATCAGTCTAGAGCTGTCAAGGATTATTATTTTTCACACCCTCCCACCTGCCTCGTGCACCCCACCCACTCCCATGGATGTCCTTGGGGCCCCACCCCACCTTCCTCCCGCGCCCTTGGCAGACGTGTCTGGTGGGCTGTGGTCCACAGGGCAAGCATCTGGCGCTGGAGGCCGTCAGCACCGTGCTCGACCTGCCTCCCCCGCCCCCGCCCCAGCTGCCCTCCTCTCACGGCGCTGCTGCTGTCAGCGCCGCGCCCATCTCACACCCGCGCTCCGCCATCGCCCTTCAGCGCATCACCCACGCCGCTGTACGCCCCTCACCTGCTGCTTCACCTGTTCGCTCACCCCCACTCTATTCGCTCTCTCTCTTTCCCAATCTATTCACTCCATATCTTTCCGCTGTACGTGCCCCGTCTCTTGCCTGTTCTATGTGCCCCGTCTCTTGCCCCACTGCCCTTTTCTCTCCTCTGTGCCTGCCACCTGCCACCTCAATGCTCTTTCCACATTGCATTCCTCTTTGCTCCAACTACTCCTCCAACGCCTCTCGAGATCCCGGCTTTCCCCTTCTTGTCCTGCCCTTCCCCTTCCCCTTCCCCTTCCCCTTCCCCTTCCCCTTCCCCTTCCCCTTCCCCTTCCCCTTCCCCTTCCCCTTCCCCTTCCCCTTCCCCTTCCCCTTCCCCTTCCCCTTCCCCTTCCCCTTCCCCTTCCCCTTCCCCCCTGCACCCGTCTCCCCCTGCAGATCTGGTTTCTGGGGGAGAACGCCAACTTTGCGGCGGGCGAGTACGCGTGGGAGAGTGCGACGCCGCCCGGGGCGGCGCTGATGCTGCTGGACGCGGAGAGCATGGTGGCGGCGGCTGGCATGCGCAACCCCACGCTCGCCCAGGCCATGCAGCGCCTGCAGCGCACCGCCACCACCGGTGCCTGGGAGGTCAGCCGGAAGGGTGGTGTGAGGGGTGGGGAGGGGGGGAGGGGAGGGGAGAAGGGAAATGCAAGGGCAAGGTTGGCTAAGAAGAGAAAAAGAGGGTTCATCGTTGGTGTGCGGCCAATCTTTAGCAATGGCAGCAGTTCGAGGAGCGATGATGAATCAAACTCTCACACTTGCAAGCCTTCTTCCCATTTTCCGCTCTCGCTCCACCGTGCTTCGACATCCTTTTTTACTTTTTTTTCTCCTTCCCCCCGCTCTTCCCCTGCACTTTGCTTTTCCCACATAACATTCTCCCTCTCTCACCGTGCTCCCCCCTGGGCGCGCATGGGGGGCATAGCAGGACCGGGTGGTGGCGGTGTATGCGCTGATGACGGTGGCGCTGCGCTCAGGCGAGCCGTACCGCCTGCAGATCTACGAGTTCTTCCACGCCCTCTTCTACGGCGGTGGCTCCTCCCGCAAGGCAACTCCAACGCCCCCCGCCCCGCCCCGCACACTCTCGCATCGCTGCCTCCTTTCCTCTCATGTCCCCCGCTCTACATATCATAACGTGGCTCACTCTCCCAGCCTGATGTTTTGAATACCAGACTTGAGGGGCATTACTTCATGGTATTGAATTGCATGTGCTGGCATGGCATGGCATGGCAGGTGCGGGGCATGGCACTGGGCGTATCAAACGGCGAGGACAGGGGCGCCAGTGGCACAGGACTGGGGGGCATCATTGCACCCATGCTAAGAGTGCTGGACGAGATGTACCGCTGCCAGGATGTCATGATGCGGTGAGTGCCATGTCATGATGCGGTCAGTGCCATGTCATGATGCGGTCAGTGCCATGTCATGATGCGGTCAGTGCCATGTCATGATGCGGTCAGTGCCATGGCATGATGCGGTGGTTGAGATGCCATGTGGTTTGAGTGGGTGGTCAGTCAAAAGAAAGTATTTCTTGAGCAGGGCAGTGGCCTTTGGTCTCTCCATCTCGCTTCTAACTCTCCAACTCGCTCTCCGTCCCTTGCCCGTTCCCCCACAGGGACATACGGCTGCACGAGTTCAGTGGGGAGGAGTGGCAGGAGGAGCAGCTGGAGCGCATATACGACATGCACGAGCGCCTCATGGACCTCGCGCTGCTCTTCTGCTTCGTGCCGCGCCACAAGTACCTCCCCCTCGGCCCCATGAGGCAAGTACCTCCCCCTCGGCCCCATGAGGCAAGTACCTCCCCCTCGGCCCCATGAGGCAAGTACCTCCCCCTCGGCCCCATGAGGCAAGTACCTCCCCCTCGGCCCCATGAGGCAAGTACCTCCCCCTCAGCCCCATGAGGCAAGTTCCTTTCCTTCACTGCAACCATCACTTTTGAATTACTGCATTTATGCCTTTTTGGCTCATTCGTGTGCCCCAGCTTCCCCCCTCGCCCCCCCTGGCCAGTGCGCGGCTGACAGCGCAGTACCGGGCGCGGCGGGGCATGGAGGCGGGGGTGGGGCGCAGTGAGGCGGAGCTGAGGGCCACTCTCGAGGGGCTGCTGCGCCACACCGGCTCCGCCCCCAAGGACGCCGCCGTCTTCCCCCCGCTCACCCTCCTCGAACCCCTCGCTGACTTCCCCACTGCGGGCGCCCTCAAGGTGGGTGCTGCTGGGGAGAGGGCAGACGCAAGAGATGTGGGCTCCAAAGATAAAAGACAGTGTGCTGGATTGGTGGAGTATGGTATCTAGCATGTGCTCACTGCTTCCTGCCCCTCGCTCCGTGCATCCTGTTCTCTCCTCACTGCCCATCCAGGTGACGGACATGCTGGGCGGCGGTGGAGACGAGAGCCTGTCAGTACCGGCAACGCCGCGGCGGTACGAGGGCATGGCGAGTGCGTTTGATGCGGTGGCGGGCGACACAGGCATGGGCAGCACCTTTGATGACGTGTACGCGTCGTCGCTGCTCGAGGCCGACGATGATGCCGAGGTGCCCTGCTCTCATGCCCTCATGCTTCCCTGCCCTCACCCGTGCTTTGCTCCCATAGCATGGTAATGCTACTTACTGCATCATTCTTACCTCTCCTAACTCTGTCTCCCTTTCGTTCCGCCATGGTATCAGAGCGAGGTGTCGGACGGCTCGGCATCACCCACGCCGTCCACCACAGCAGAGGCGTTTGGCAACATCCGCAACTGGGTCCGCCCGCACGCACCTCTCTCCAACCACCTTCTCTCTCTGCCTTCTGCCTCCTCTTTTCTCGCTTCTGCTTCCAGTTCTTGGCCTGCTGCCCCCCTCTCTCTCTCTCTGCCGCCCCTTGCTCTCTGCTTCCCACACGAACAGTACCGTTTTTGGCCCCGATGTTCATCCCTTACCATCTGTGCTGCCCTTGCAACTCTTTCGTGGCTGCGTGTCCTGTGTTGTGCTGCCTCAACTTTTAGTGCGGATTGAGTTTGTGTGTTTTTACCCGCATGCATCTTGTGCTCGCCTGGGGACTGCATGTCCTGCTCCACCACTCTTTCTCTCTGCCCTGCCAGGACGAGGAGAGCCTGTCAGGCGACAAGGGGGCAAGCGGAGCATCAGCAGGGCAGTCGGTATGTGCCGGCACTTGTACCAACATTCGGATGCATACATGCATTGTGCCAACCATTGTTTCACATGCGTGCACGTGCGCTCATTCGGTCCTCCCGCATTGGAGCTTTTCCACTCTTGTTGTTCCGCACACACTCGTTACACACACACCACGTGCCCACTCGCACACAAGCACTCACCCACTCATGACCGCCTCCCACATGCCTCTGCACCTGGCACTCATCTCCCCCCCCTCCCCCTCCCCCTCCTCCCCCCCCACCCTGCCCTTCCCTTGTATGTGTGCACCACCGTGCTATGGGCAGGCGGCACAGGCAGGGCGGGGGAGGGGGGGCGAGGAGGAGGAGGACGAGGGGTACGACTACGAGGCGGAGCTGCGCAGGCGGGCGGGCGACAGCGGCGCAAAGCAGAGAGGCCGCGCGCTCTACGCTTTTATTGCAGGCGATGAGGACGAGGTGAGGGTGGGGAGGGGAGGGGTGATTGCGTGTGTCTCCGCTCGTGCCTTCACAGCCTATGCATCCACTACTCCATGAAAATCCGTGCTTTCTCCTCACCGGCCCCTCTGCCTCTGTCCCCACCCACCCCCTCACAGCTGTCACTGAGTGTGGGGGAGGAGGTGGAGATAGAGTACGAGGCGGACGGGTGGTACCATGCCAGGAAGGTCAACCCCGCTCCCGATGGCAAGCAGGCGGGCTTCGTGCCCGTGCTCTACCTGGACACACGCTGAGCTGATGCCCGTGCTCTACCTCCACACGCGCTGATGCCTCTGCCTGTGGCACAAAGGAAACAGATACCTCCGGCACGCCATCTACTCAAATAAACACATCCAACACCTGAGCCATGAAGTGTCCGTATGAATATAAACACAAATCTAGCAATTCCAAATGTGTGGCACCACTCACTGCGCACTGCACATTAGCTGCCACCTTCAAAGGCACCAATTGGTTTCCTCTGACGCCATTCAGCCATGGACCCTATATGAACCATCTCATGTTCTCTAACATGAACATTACACAGCCAAGGTGCACGCGCACCACTAGTATAAATACTACCGTAGTATATATACGGTACAGTACAGCATTGGTTTACAACAAAACAATCATGCTTTCCACACTATTGTCACATTGCCTGCCAAACCAGTTATCTCGCCCCCAATCAGGGCCTCATACCCGTTTGGGCCACGCTTTTTCGTCAGTGTTGGTCCTTGGTAAAAAACTTTCTATCAGTGACCCTTAGAAAAACTTTCGAGTCAGTGTAGGTATGGTTATTTAGGCTGATCTAACGAGTGTTGAACAAGGTTGCATTTTTAGGTATGTATCTATTAAGGTGTAGCTTGTAATGAATTAGAGAAGGAAGGGAGGCGGTGATGGAGAGGAGCAATAGTGTTTAACATGTCAAACTGAGTTTGTATGTCCGTAGGCTGTAGTGGGATAGCCTTTACTGAGGACAACACTTTGTACTCTTCTCTCATTTTAGTCAATCATTCTTACACATTGTACCTGACATGGTTTTCAGAGCAGGTCCCTCCGTAGGACCGCTCTGTTAGGGCCCACTGTTAGTTTCGTGCTGCCCGAACTGCCATGCCCGGTTGTTCCTGCCCTGCCCGAACAGCGTTCCTCACGTTGCCCTACCTACGCTACCCCACGCACTCTGCCCTGCCCTGCATGGCAGCTGCCGCCCATCCGGGCTGAGCTACAAGGGCTGAGCAGGGCAGCCGTTGCCCTACCTACGCTACCCCACGCGCCCTGCCCTGCCCTGACATCTCGGCTTTCCACCACCTGCTAATCCGCCACGCTCCACAACATCCAAGCTTTGCTCCTCTCCGATACCCCAAGGAAAATGCCTCATTGTGCCTAAGGATCCAGCTTCCTCCGTTGCTGGTCGAGCACTTTGTACTGCGCCATGTGTCAGAACATTATAGCTTATGCTGTTGTGTAGGCTATAGTGGGGTATCCCATAAGGGGTACAACCCAATTAGGGTTTCATATTTGTACTCACTTCATTCATAGTTCGTTCATTCACATTCCTTTCTACACATGGTATCAGAGCAGGTCCCATCCTAGGGACTGTTCTTTAGGGCCCACCGAAGCGCGCCCGAGGCGCGCGCCTTTTTTTTAGCGACCCTCCGAGTTGCCCTTTTCCTTCGCGGCCCCGCCGCCCTACTTCGCGGCCCGACCGCCGCCCTACTCACGGCCCAGCCGCCGCCCTACCTTAGCGGCCCACCAGCCGCCGTCCCGTCGCGGCCCCGCCACCCAGTCGCGGCCCCGCTACCCCTACGCGCGACCCCGCCACTCAGTAGCGGCCCCGCCACCCCTTCGAGCGGCCCCGCCCCTTCGTCGCGGCCCCGCCACTCCTTCGAGCGGCCCCGCCACTCTGTCGCGGCCCACCCGCAGCCCTACCTGCGGCCTCCCCGCCGCCCTATCTGCGGCCGTCCGCCGCCCTACCTGCGGCCGTCCCGCCGCCCTACCTGCGGCCTACCCGCCGCCCTACCTGCGGCCGTCCGCCGCCCTACCTGCGGCCGTCCCGCCGCCCTACCTGCGGCCTACCCGCCGCCCTACCTGCGGCCGTCCGCCGCCCTACCTGCGGCCGTCCCGCCGCCCTACCTGCAGCCTACCCGCCGCCCTACCTGCGGCCCGCCCGACCGCCCTACCTACGCGGCCCAGTCGCAGCCGAGCCGCCCGGAGCAGCCGAGCCGCCCAGGAGCAGCCGAGCCGCCCAGCAGCAGCCGAGCCGCCCAGCAGCAGCCGAGCCGCCCGGAGCCGCCGAGCCGCCCAGCAGCAGCCGAGCCGCCCGGAGCCGCCGAGCCGCCCAGCAGCAGCCGAGCCGCCCAGCAGCAGCCGAGCCGCCCAGCAGCAGCCGAGCCGCCCAGCAGCAGCCGAGCCGCCCAGCAGCCTAGCGGCCGTGTCGCCAGGCGACCTTCCTCCCGAGCCGCCCGACCTGCCCTGCCCGGTGAGCACTGCACTGCTGTCACTGCGTACCCTTCCCCTACTGCTTGCACTGCTCCACTGCCGTAGTCATGGCTACACCCAGTGTCCTCGCTTTTGATGCTGAGGGTCGAGCCATTGACTTTGAGGTCTGGCTCGACGACCTGCAGCTGTTTTTACAGTGCGACAGGGCCGACGGTCTGTCTCTCTTTGACCTCACCTCTGGCGCCGTCCCTGCCCCTGCTGCTGATGCTGACGCCACTGTTCGCTCTCAGTGGGCCACGCGCGATGCTACTGCACGTCTTGCTGTGCGTCGCCACCTGCCTACCACTGAGCGCGCGCACTTTAGCCAGTACAAGAGTGCTCAGACCTTGTACGACGCTGTAGTTGAGCGCTACTCCTCCCCTGCCACTACTGCACTGAGCCGCCTCATGCTCCCCTTCCTCTTCCCTGACCTTGCCGCCTTTCCCACTGTCGCTGATCTCATCACGCACCTCCGCACTAGTGACACTCGCTACCGCGCTGCGCTTCCTGCTGACTTCTGCGCCAAGAACCCCCCCCCCCATGTACATCACTCTCTACTTCTTAGTCACTCGCCTCCCTGACTCCCTTCGTGTAGTCCGGGACCACTTCCTCGCGGTCTGTCCCACCACCCTCACAGTCGGCAGCCTCGAGAAGGCCCTCCTTGCAGCAGAGAAGAGCATAGTCGCTGTAGGAGCCTCTCGAGGTGACCCCCGCGCCCCCATCTTTGAGGGGTGTTCTCCTTCCCCTCTCTTGCCCTCTGTCGCCTCTGCCGCTGCGGCCGACCTCGTTGGTCTTGAGTCGGTCGGTGCGGCGTCTGCCCCTAGCGGGAGACGCCGCTCTGGCAAGGGCAAGGGGGGCAAGGGAGCGGGTGGGGCCAGTGGGGGCGGTGGAGGTGGAGGTGGAGGCGGCGGAGGGAGTGGGGGTGGCGGTGGAGGTGGTAGCGGGGGTGGGGGTGCTAGTGGCGGCAGTGGAGGCGGGGGTGGCGGCGGCGGTGGCGGTGGTAGCGGAGGTGGCGGAGGTGGCGGCGGTGGAGGCGGAGGCGGGGGCGGTGGAGGTGGAGGCGGGGGTGGCGGAGGTGGAGGTGGTCGGAGGGGAGCTTCGCACCGGAGCGGCACTGGTGGCGGTCAGCGCCAGCAGCAGCAGCAGCAGCAGCAGCGTTCTCGCGACGTCCCCACCCCTCAGCAGCTCCGTGAGTGGTACACGTAGCGTCAGCGCGATGGGGGTTTTGGTCCCTGCACCTACGTTCTCCGCACTGGCGACCGCGCTGGAGAGCAGTGTGGGGGCACCCACACCGCCCAGCGCTGCTTTGGCCGCCTGACGGACGCCTGGCGCCAGCAGTTCCCGGAGGCCGCGGAGATCCCCCGCTGGGGAGAGCTGTCTAGGGCTGGTGTAGCTGTGTTTGATCTTGACTTTGATGCTATCCTTGCTGCCATGTATGCTGTGACTGTTAGTGATGATGGTGACTGTTACCGGTGTTTCCCGCCCGACCCGGGCATTGGTACGGCTGCTCCAGGTGCCGGTGAGGCTTCTGCTCTAGGTGCCAGTGCGTCTGTGCTCTCAGGTGCTGGTGAGGCTGCTCTCTCAGGTACTAGTGCGTCTGCGCTCTCAGGTACTGCGTCGGCTTCGGCCTCCCACACCTTCACTCTTGACTCTGTAGCGTCTCGCTCTTTCTTTCGGGACCGCACCACACTCACACCGCTTAGTCGGCCGGTTGCGGTTTCCCTGGCTGACCCCTCTGGGGGTCCTGTCCTGTCTCGCTTCTCCACAGTCCTCCCGTGTCCGGCGGCTCCCTCTGGCACCCTGTCTGGTCTCTACCTCCCCTCGTTCTCTACGAACTTGGTGAGTGGTGCTGACCTACAGGATGCGGGAGTCCACCAGTTCACCCCTGCTCGTCAGCGAGTGACGCACTGCACAGAGGCTAGCACGGGTCGTCACCTGGCTACGTTTACACGTCAGCCAGGGTCGAGCCTGTACACACTGACCACTGCTTCTCCTCCAGGTGCTGAGTCTGGTAGAGTCCCTTCGTCTGGTCAGGTGTTTGATGCAGCGTCCAGGTCTGGTCCTGAGTCTGCCCCCTGTTCGTGTCGCCGTCTGTCTCACGAGACCCTCCTCTGGCACCACCGCCTTGGCCACCCCTCTCTGCTTTGGCTCAGAGGCATGGCCTCTCGTCTTCTTGTGTCTGGTCTCCCCCGGTCCCTCCCTCCCCTTCCTCAGGGCCCTGGCCCTGCCTGTGTCCCCTGTGTCGAGGGGCGCCAGCGTGCTGCCCCTCACTCCTCCCAGTTTCCTCCGACAGAGGCTCCGTTGCAGACGCTTCACATGGACGTGTGGGGCACAGCCCGCGTCCGTGGACAGGGTCACGAGCGCTACTTCCTGCTGGTGGTTGACGACTACTCGCGTTACACCACAGTCTTCCCCTTGCGCACCAAGGGTGAGGTCACTCAGGTGTTGATCGACTGGATCCGCGCAGCTCGTCTCGAGCTCAGGCGGAGCTTCGGCTCGGACTTTCCTGTTTTGCGTCTGCACTCGGACAGAGGTGGAGAGTTCTCCTCTGTCCTTCTGCGTGCCTACTGTTGTGCACGAGGCATCCGCCAGACCTTCACGCTTCCGGACTCCCCGCAGCAAAATGGGATTGCAGAGCGCCGCATTGGCATGGTCATGGACGTCGCTCGTACGTCTATGATGCATGCGGCTGCCCCCCATTTTCTGTGGCCGTTTGCGGTCAGGTACGCGGCGCATCAGATCAACCTTCACCCCAGGGTCTCCAGGCCGGAGACCTCCC